CTTGCACAACAACAATCAATCAGCATTATATCAGAATCGTTGAAAGAGTAGAAGCACCACAACCACAAACCAGACGTTGGCACATGTAAGAAGTAGAAGTAGAAGAAGTAGAAGAAACAGCGCCAACACTACTAATCAACACTGGAAACACACCATCCCAAGCACCGCTCTTGTTCGCTTTAGTCGTCAAAAGTCATGCGGGAGCCCTGGAACTCGGCAATGGCGCCCTTGTTGGCCTGCTTTGCGGCCTGGAAGCCACCACGGCCGCCACCACGACCACCGCGACCACGGAAGCTGCCGCCGCGTCCACCGCGACCGCCACGGAAGCCGCCGCCACGACCGCCACCACGGCCGCCACGGAAGCCACCACGGCCGCCACGACCACCACCGCGCCCACCTGTACAAGTGAAGCGAATGAGCATGCACGAGTGCGCGTCAGTGAGTGACTGTGCGAGGAGGGAAAGACAGAGAGAGAAAGAGCCGCAGACATGTGGAGAGCTGCAGACATGTGGAGCGCTGCAGACATGTGGAGAGCTGCAGAAGGGCATGCACACGCACACACCAGCACACACCTACACACGCACACGCAGACGCACACACACACACATGAACACACACGCACACACACTTCAAGGCAGCATCAGCGTACCGCGGGAGTTGTCGCGGGGAAGGGCAAAGTCGAGGTAAACCTCGCGGCCGTAGATGTTGGCGCCCTGGTTGGCGTCGAGTGCAGTCTTGGCAGTGTCGGCATCCTCAAAGTCAACGTAGCCGAAGCTGTCGTAGAAGAAAAAAGTCAGCACAAGCAACGAGTGTGAGCAGTCAAAAAGACGGAACGCGTTGACGGGCAGAGGCGTGGTGCACGGCACGAGCATGCAAACACATGGATGAAAACACAAACATGAAAAAACACACACGTGCACTTGCATATGCGTATGCGTTCGATGCAGCATGTGTACACAACATCACGAAAGAAAGCGTCAAGGCAATCTCACCCGCGGGAGCGGCCCGTCTCGCGATCGGTGGCGATGCGCACGCGGCTGGCGTTGGTGAACGTCTCCCACAGCGCGTTCTCGTCGGCATCAAAGGAAAGGTTCTTGACAAACAGCGTGGAGGATGGCTCGTTGGGCTGACGCTGCTGGAACGACTGGCGAGGCCTGGAGCCGCCCTTGTTGTCAGCGCTGCGGAAAACAAACAAACCAAAACAAAACAAGGGCCCAGTACGTGTGAGCAAGCGATTGGGTCATCGCAATCGCTGCTGCTGTTGCTGCTGCTTCCACACTACGTACAGCACAATACACGCGCGCGCACTGAACACACCAAACACAAACTATATCACTCGAAAAAGTGTACATGCATGCGCACGCAAACACACACACACATGACTACACCAACCCCAATCCAACCCCCTTATGATACGCACTTGTCAAAGCGGAGGGCGCGGCCCATGAGCTCGGCATCTGTCGTGTTGATGAAGTTGTCCACGGCGCTGGCATCAACGTCGGCGTAGGCAATACCGCGGCTGCGGCCATCACGCATGATGAGGCGCACGGCGTGCACGGTGCCGAGGTTGAGCTCAGAGAGGAACGCCTTGAGGTCCTCCTCGGAGACGTCAAAGGAGATGTTACCGACAAAGAGGCTGGCAGTCTCGCCAGAGGCAGCGGCGTCGCCGTTGGAGGCCTCCTCCTTCTTGGCGCGCTTGGCGGGCTTCTCGCCCTCCTCCTCCTCCTCGTCGCTGGAGCTGTCATCATCACTGGAGCTGTCGCTGCCGCTGTCGCTGTCGGCCTTTGCTGCGGCCTCCTCCTTCTTCTCCTCAGTCTCCTCCTCATCATCGCTGGAGCTGTCCTCATCGCTGGAGCTATCGCTCTCGGCCTTGGCAGCCTCCTCCTTCTTTGTCTCGGTTGCCTCTTCCTCCTCATCGCTCGAGCTGTCATCATCGCTGGAGCTCTCGGCCTTTGCGGCCTCTTCCTTCTTCTCCTCTTCCTCTTCTTCCTCCTCATCGCTGGAGCTCTCGGCGGCCTTCGTCTCGGCCTCGTCCTCGCTGCCAGTCTCCATGCCCTTCTTGGACTCCTCAGCCTCGCTCTCGCTGCCGTCACTGTCGCTGTCGCTGTCGCTGCTGTCGCTGTCGCTGCTCTCGGCGGCCTACGAATCCACGAACGCGAGAAAGAACCAGAAGTACGGGACATGGCACGTGACGCATCCATGCATGTGAGCACGCGTGTCAGAGAATGTGACCATTGGCCTGTCACAATGTGTAACATTGCCAAGATGACAGTCGATGTTGGCGGACAGCCGATGTGCGTGTTGGGAATGATTGTGAAGGGAGAAAACACAGGACACCACCACCATCTTGCCCCACAGTAACCACGTGAGTTGCGCACCTTCTTGGCCTTCTTGGACTTCTTGCTCTTCTTGGACTTGTCCTCCTCCTGCTGCTTGTCCAGCTCCTTCCTGACCTCCTTCTTGAGCTTCTTGGCCTCCTTCTTGGCCTGGTCACGTGACATGCCCTCAGCCATCAGGTTCTGTCACATCCAGAACAACACAACACACACAGTGGAAGCGGAGCAAAGCAAGGATGAGAGATCGCGATCGATTCGCAGCAGTGGAGAGGGGAGGGTGCCAAACGCATCAACAAGGAGATCTAACACACAAAGTTGAGTACACACATGGTGCCAGGCGATCACGCGAGGCGATCGCACGCACACATGGGTACGCGATCGCTCAGATACGCAACACACACACACACTTGCATGTGTTGACAGGCGATCTCCCCGTACATACACCAACATACACAAATATACATGCATCCACGCAAACACACGGACACACGCACGCGCGCGCGCACACAGCTTTCGACACACGCATGTATGCGCAACAGCCGTACCTTCTTGAGCGCCTTCTGGAGCTTGGTGTCTGTGATCTTCTTGTTGGTTTTGCGCTGTGCCTTGAGGATCGGGGAAGCGACCTTCTTCACGTCAATCTCGAGCTCCTTGGCCTTCTTGGAGGCCTTGGACTTGCCGGACTTGCCCATCTTGATCTGTGTTGTGGCGATGAGAAAGAGAGGGAGGGGGGTAGACTTGATCTGCGTTGGGGAGTGCGTCGGTGTGGAGCTTGGAAAATGGAGATCGGACGATCGCACGCGGTGGTGGCTTGTGGTGGCTTGTGGTGCAGCGATCGGAAAGGAAAAAGGGCTCCCACGTGCTCGTCTTTTTTCTCCTGCAAGCGTGTGTGTGTGTGTGTGGGCTTCTCGTGCTTGTTGTGGTTGCGGGGTTTTTTCCACGTGCTGCAGACAAGGTGTCAAGGCGACAATTTGTGTATATCTTCCTACAATTAGTATTGTCGTATAAATAGGGCATACCAACAGCATGGACTTTATAAATCACGACAGGGCAGTTGACGGGGATTCTTGAGAGATATGCGCTAAAATTCAGCAACCACTGCCTGCAGGCAACGAATGTCAGCGCTGATTGGCTGATTTCGTGGCGTTGTTGTTTTGGGGTGTGGCAAAGGGCAGCCAGAACTCAGATCTCTGCAGCTCTCTGTCTGTCAGCAAAGCAAACCGAGAGGGAAGCGAGGGGATATCTCACACCCTGCAACACCACAACACACCCTTCGGACACCCTTCTTCCCTCACCCAGCTCCAACCAGCCACCAACGAACCGATCGACTGACCGCTTCGGCTTCGCTTGCTTGCGCGCGTGCTGCAAACGTTCAAAACAGGTGCGTGTGTGCGTGTGGATGCGTGTGTGCGTGTGGATGCGTGTGTGTGGATGGATGTTTGGGTTGCCGTTGTTCCCTCTTGAGCTCGCAATGATTTTTTTGCGTAGCAAGGATCATTGTCAGCTTGCACCAGCTGTGTTGGCTGCTCTTCTGCTGTCCCTGTCTGCTATCCTCGACCGTTTATCATCTTGGCTTTCTTCCCCGGCTTGCTTCCCGGGCTTGCTTTCTCCTTGTAGCCTTGTGGACTGCGTTTGTTCCTGCGTTGAAACAAACGAGAGCAGGAGCGTCGGAGTGTCGTGGCGCATGCCCGTTCTGGCGTTCTCCACAACGCAACAACTCACCACCCCCTCCTCTTTCCTTCCTTGCCTGCATCGTCTCTTCTCGCAACACTCACCACACCACACCCCACGCACCACGCACCACGCACCACCACACTCCACACAACACGCCACAAAACGACACCAGCAGCGGCCATGTCGCGCGCAGTGACGACGACGCCGCCGCCGCCGCTGCTACTGCTGTGCAGTTTGCTTGTCGTGTCACTGCTGTCCGCTGACGTTGGTGCGCAGGAATGCCCCGCAGGGTTCCAGCCAGACCCGCTCCGCGTCGTCGTCCTTGTTGAGGGCTCCTTCTACGTCGCGGAAGGGGAGTTTGCAGCCTTCACTCAGGCAGCGCTCGACGTCTCCACCGCCCTCCTTACCGCGTCCCCAACAGGCACACACCTCACCTCGGTCATCGAGTTCTCCACCTTCCCATGCAGCGCAGAGTCGCAGTGCACGCCGTTTGTGTCCGACGCGGAAGAGCTCGCCGACCGCATCGACTCCATCGACCAGAGCTTCGGCCTCGTCCGCACCGCAGGCGCTATCCAGTATGCCCTGGATAACCGCTTCCAGGTGCCAGATCCGGACCGCCGCTCCGTCTTGCTCGCCATCGCAAAGTCTGCTCCCCTCAATCCGAGCGAGCCCGTTCGCCAGGCACTGCAGGATGCTGGCGTCGACGCCTTCTTCGTCTTGCTCGACCCGGATAACTCAACCGTTCAGGACTTTCGCAACTGGGCCGCCTCCCCAGACAACGTGCTTCCCGTCGACACGCTGCAGGATCTCGCCGACCCGAACATTACAACCGCCCTGACCTCTGTTCTCGCTTGTCCTGGTGAGTGCAGTGAGTGCGTTCCCGCACGTCTCTGTGTGTTTGTATGTATGTATTTATGTATGTATGTCTGTCTGTGCGTATGTATGTGTATGTGTATGTGTGTGCGTATGTATGTATGTATGTATGTATGTATGTATGTATGTATGTATGTATGTATGTATGTATGTATGTATGTATGTATGTGTGCGTATGTATGTATGTGTGCGTATGTATGTATGTGTGTGTATGTGTATGTGTGTTTGTGTCGGAGTCCTTCCAGCCTTCCTCCTTCGTTTTCGTATGCCCAGTGAATGCATCAAGATGCCCTCCTGGCTTGCTTGAGTCCGCCTTGCTCTGGCCATATCATCAGCAAAATTTCCAGTCATGTCACATAACATAACACCCCCCTGCTTGATGTGCTTCCCATGAAGACATCACGACGTGCATTGGCTCCAAGGACGCGGATGAAGGCGACCCGTGCCAGTGCGCACAGGACTGCTTCTCGTGCCTAAATGCCCGCAACACGTCCGTGTGCACGCGCTGCACCAACGGGAAGTACCTGTTCGAAGGCCGCTGTTACGCTGACTGCTCCTTCAGGGAAGATCTGCAGGAGCGCGGCAATGACACGGACGGCCGTCGCTGCATCATCGCCCCCAACTGCCCCGACGGCTTCTACGAGGTGTGTGTGTGTGTGTGTGTGTGTGTGTGTGTGTGTGTGTGTGTGTGTGTGTGTGTGTGTGTGTGTGTGTGTTCGGAGGAGAAGGAATGAGCAAACAGATACCAGATTTTCTCACGTATCCCCTCTAACCACACCCGCACAGAGTGGTGAGCCCATGGATGGCGAGCGGCAGTGCAGCCCTATCACGCAATGCGGGGACATGGAGGCCGAAACGCAAGCACCAACCTTCACCAGCGACCGTGTTTGCACCGCATACGTCAACCTTTGTGGCGATTCCACAGGTATGTGTACGTGTATGTGTACGTGTGTGTGTGTGTGTGACTGCAACAGTTGCGTTTGTCAGTGACTCGCCAGTCGTCGTGCGCAGTGGTTTGATGCTCAAACACACACACGCACACATTCACACGCACGCACGCACACACGCACACACACACACACACACACACCCTTGCTCACACATGCTTCCCAAACTCCCCACCGCTTGCCACTCCCGTCAGGCTGTGTGTACGACGCGAACAACATGGGGTACCGCGGCCCAATCGCCACCACCCGCAACGGCCGCACGTGCCAGCGGTGGGACTCACAGTCGCCGCACCCGCACTCGTTCACACCACTGCTCTTCCCCGACGCCGACTTGCGGGAGAACTACTGCCGCAACCCGGATGGCGAGCGCACTGCGTGGTGCTTCACAACAGACCCCAGCAGACAGTGGGAGCTGTGCGACGTGTGCTCCCACTACCTCGTAGCGCCGCCCACAGCCACGTCCGATACCGTGTGCGCACGCATCTCGCGACCCTGCAGGTCATCAGAGGTGGAGGTCATTGCAGCCACCGCCCTCAACGACCGCGTGTGCCGCCCAGCTGATCTCACCTGCCCCGAGGACCAGTACCGCACACCACTCTACGAGTGCGACGACCTGACAGAGTGCATGTTGGGCCAGTACGAGTCGGATGCTCCAACGCCAACCAGCGACCGCATGTGCGCGTCCGTTAACCCCTGCTATCCACACCAGTACGAGGCCAGCCCGCCCACTGTCACCTCCGACCGCGTGTGCGTGGCCATTTCAAACTGCACCACTTCGCAGTTCCAAACAGCGGCGCCAACCGCCACATCCAACCGGGAGTGCCGGTCCATTCGTCCACCATGCATGCTTGGGTCGGAATACCTCGTTGCCGAGCCGACCACAACCACGGATCGCATCTGCGAAGACGTGAAGAATTGCACAGAGTCACAGTTTCAGGTCGTCGCACCCACAGCTACCAGCGACCGGTGTGTGTGTATGTGTGTGTGTGTGTGTGTGTGTGCCGTGTGTGTGTGCCGTGTGTCGTGCGTGCGTGTGTGTTTTGTGTGTGTGTGTGTGTGCTTGTTTTGTGTATGTGTGTGTGTTTGTGTGTGTGTGTTTTGTGTGTGTCTATGTTTGTTTTTTTTTGTT